ATTAAGATATATATTTAAAATACTGTAGGTCCTTGGGAAAAAGATGCTTTAGTATCTTTATTTTTTTCTCTCCTTGCAACTCATTCAGGCACGTATTAATTCTTGTGTGTCTATTAAACTGGCAGTAATCTGTTTCATCTACTTCTTCCTTTAGTCCCTTAGAAGGCAGAGACAAATGTTGAGATGTTTGTCATCTGTATCATGCTGCAACCAGCTGTGCACAGTCTTGTTTCATATTTTATTGAAAACATTTAGCATTTTTGTTTATTTAAACAGCGTCTGTAAAAATTGAACATTAATCAGTTTATACTGTGTTGTATTATTAGTTCATTTGACTAACAGCTCATGTATTTAAGATGTTTGTATACCATCCTTTGCAAAAACGTACTCCAGGACAGAACTGATTAATAAAATCGCAGTGATTTACTGCACTGAAATAAAATACAAGTCAATGTAGAATGAAAATATTACTATAACTGTTAGTGAAATAGCAAACTTATTTAAAAAGAAACAGAAAACACAGTCAAGAGATATACCATCCTCAACTTGCAAATTATTAAAGCACTTGAATTATTAAAGCACTTGTAAGAGCCTTGAGTTCTTTAGTGAGTGTCACAACTGAGAGAGTCCTATAATTCTCCTCTCTCCTCAAGACACTACCTGTCCACAAAAGCATAATTAGGACTCCTCCCAAAAATGGTATAGGTTGGTGTATACCACAAGAGGATTTTTTGCTATAAGGATCTTATATAAACAACAATATTTTGAGCTACGCTTAAACATAAATAATACAAGCAACATTTTGACGCTCTTAGTAACCAACCTTTGCATCAGCCTAAACATGGACAACTAAAGATATTTCTGGTTGGTGTTATCAGCAAAGTTTTCCACAACAAACTGGATTAGGAATAGCTATATACCAGATTTTATGGCAGGCACACATCCAGAAAATGCTGTTTCCCCATTATTTAACCTCAAACTATTCACCAACACCATTTCTTATCTTTTCAAAATGTAATTGTATTGATCTCCATCCAGCCCTGCACTGCCTCTAGAAAGTGTCACACCTGAATCAGATGAGATTGAAAGAGATAGGCATTACATTGCACAATAATATCAACTTGCCTCTAATTACTTGTATTATTTTCTTTGGCCATTTTTAATTTCATATAATGGCATGATTAAACATTCAAGGGAGAAGAGGCTTTAATTTATTAAATAAAACTTATTAAACAAAAGATTGATTATGTACCAGCAAGTCACTGTTGATACTTGGTGATCATATATAGATAGATTTTCTCCATGAGGCTCTGTCCCCAACCTGCTCCTTCAGACCTTCCAATCGTTCATTCATTCTAGATGCAACTTAGTCCATTCGCCTTCTAAGTGATCATCTGTTCCCTTTCAGCAGCACTGTTGACTTCCACAGAGAGCATGGTCTTGGTATAATCTATCCGAAATATGATGCTGTTGTGGGGAAATTAGGAGGATGGAGTATTAGGTATATTTGCCTCCTTGAGTATTTATAAAAATATAATACAGGATGTAAAATAAATAAATACTCTGTTTATTTGCTATTAATCATATTCTCAAAGAGTCTTCTCCAATGCTGAAGTTAAAAAAAATAGTAGTAGTACTTTATTATGATCACTGATCAAATTCAACAAATTAACAGCAGATGAAATGTTAATTTGCACAATTTAGATTTATTTACGGTGGAAGACCAACTTACATAAGATCTAAGTTTGGTTTGACACAGATTTTAAAAGTCTCACCTATTAATATATCCTACAGAGGATAAGAATTAAAATTATGATAGTTGAACATTTGCTAAAGCACAAACACTGTGTCATCTTGCACAGAGGTGGACACAGTTGTTCTGAACTGGCCAGAGTGTTGTATTTTCTTTGTCAAAGCACTAAGAGCAAAATACTTAGCCTGATTGCAGATATTTTTTTTAATGTACTATGCAGGCAACATTAAAAAGTAGCTGGCAGATGCAAATATTCTGTGAGATAATTTCATTAAGAGGATAGAAATTATATTTAAGGCTTTTTGATGGTCTATGTCCAACATACATGTTGCTGGTCTTCAGCTTCATCATCTCAAAAGTCAGAGGAATTGGGGATTGTCCTGAGATTCTTAATATTGAAATGTAATTCTATTAAGGCAGCTAGGGATTCAATTGAAAAGATTGGCTTTAAACTCACACTTGGAGGAGTTTACTCCTGCTTCTAAGTATCAAAATCACCATTGTGGATTATGATCAAAGTCGTTGACGAATTGAATGGCCTTAGAAATGTGAATGATAAGTAAATTCAGATGTTAAAATTTTTGACTGTAGATTCAATCCTGAGAATTCTGCAGCATTTGTCTGTTTGCCCTGGCTTTAAAAATGTGACACTCTATTAAAAAGAAAGGCCATTATAGCCCTGTAATTTAGGCATTATTGGCAAAGGAGTTGATAGGTTCCCTCTAAACATCGGCTCCATAAAAGCAATCCTCTGAAATCTGAAAATTTATAAATTATGTACAACTTATAATTATTTTTTATTTTATAATACCAGACAACACCAGACACCTGATGGCATGCCAACTTGATTAGTATAAAATTAGCCATATCATTAGCACATAAAAGCATAGGTATGAGCCTGTCTCCTAACTTTTGGGGAAAAAACAGAGATTGCTTGTATCATAGGATTTCATAGTTTAAACATGTGGAAATAAGTTATTTTTAATGTTTTGGAATGCTTGAACACATTTTGGGAACTTTGTGATTTGTAATACCCATTTCTTGTGTTGTTTGAAATGTGTAAAATGAAAGTTGACCCTAGTCTATTTTGGAACCTATGCAGATCAAATCTAGTTCATTACTGGATGTGAGTTACTAGGATTGTTGGTTAGGCTAAGACAGTGGTTCTCAACCTTTTTAATGCCGCGACCCCCAACCGATCGTAAGTTGAGGACTAAACAACTGGTCGTAAGTCGAGGACTATCCAACCGGTCGTAAGTCGAGGACTTTCCCTGCCTGGGAGCGCCGCACATGCGTGGTGCCGCCCTCTGCGCCGGCCGAGGCGTAGCTGGCAAGCGGCAGAGACGGAGCAGGCCGACCACTGGCTGGGCCACCAGCTGGCCCAGCCCAAGGGAGGTAAGGCACCCGCCGGGCTCCACGCGCGCCAGCAACCCTCCCTGCGCCTGCTGGCCTCCCACCTCCCACCCCTGGCCCTCTTTTACTTACATTTTTAGTAGTTGCTCAGCAGGGAGGGGTGGAAACTTCCAGACAGCTCGCCTTCGCTGCAGACAACTTGCAGCACCGTTTGCAGAATGGGACTTTTGGCGGGCTCAGCAGAGCAGAGACAGCCTCGACAATTCCTATTGGCTTTTGAAAGCCAATAGAATTAGACTCTATTCAAGAGAGTCTATTCTATTGGCTTTCAAAAGCCAATAGAATAAAAGGGAGTAGCACAGCTAAGGAAAAGGGGGGAAAATGGTGGACTGCGTTGTTTGGCGACCCCCGTGAAATGGTCGTTCGACCCCAAGTGGGGTCCCGACCCACAGGTTGAAAACCACTGGGCTAAGAGTTAAAACACAGACAAACAAACAAACACATACACTGGAAGAAGGCTGTGGCAAAACATTTCTATACTGCTGCCAAGAAAATTTTATGAATACAGTCACTTCTAAGACTTTGCTTTTACTAAAATAATTTTACTCTCCTCTAACCTGGAACCCCTGCAGATGTATTGGACTACACTTCTGATATCCTCACCTAGTACAAGCTAAACTTCCTAGGGACACTGAGGTAGAATTCAGGTTGTGGAGAGCTACTTTGCTGAGCTTTCAAGTGGAAAGCTGACAGCCCGGGTTCAAGACTCGAGTGAGGTGCTATGGGGAGAGCTCCCCTTATTTGCCCCAATCCTGCCCATCTAGCAGTTTGAAAGCATGCAAATGTGAGTAGATAAATAGGTACCACTTTGGTGGGAAGGTAACGGCATTCCGTGCTCCTCAGCATCCAGTCATGGTGACCACATGACCATGGAATGTCTGGATAACACTGGCTCCCTCCTCTAAGAAATGGAGATGAGCACTTCTCCCTAGAGTTGGATATGACTGGACAGGGGAAACTTTTACATCTTCTACCATATGTTGAATAGTTGCTGTGAAGTCATAGATCCCTAATTGTAAGTCTTGTGTTCTCATGCTCCAGGGTGCATTTTGTCCTCTAGCAGGGAATCTGAGGAAATTTTCACTGCTGTCTACTTTTATCTCTCCAAGAAGGAAAGTTTGATTCTTTCTATATGAAGGATGCTACTCATTCACATGATGGTTTGTCTAAAAGTCAAGGTGCATCCAGAGCATGAGATTGCATCAGCTTACTTCCTGGGACATTTTCCAGAAAAGACAGGGGCACTTCACACTAATAGATTCATTTTGTTTTTTAAAAAATTATTGCTTATCTGGATTTGGAACAGTGATAATCAATTTGTTTTTCAGCTGTTTTCTATCCTTGCCTCTGATATGAAAATAGGATGAATCAGTTGGCCTCGGATTCATATTTATGTCCTCCTAGTCACCAGTTTGGTTGCCCTACATGCGATAAGTAAATAAATAGTATGGGGAGAACTTGCGTGGCATTAGGATTCCGACTCATGCATGGAACTTACATGAGTAGAGGAGGCTTGGAATTCAGGGCTGTTAAAGGAGTAGGTGTTTTGATGGACATGAATCTAGGATATTGGCTTGCGTTTTACTTTGGCTAAAACATGTGCCTTCAAAATATTATCTGGTAATAAAAGGCTTAGAATCTGTGATTATTACTTTAAGGAGGAATTCACATAGTCATTTCCCCTGTACTTTTTATGCACTGGCTTCTGATGGAAAAAAAACTCTTAAGAGTCTGCAGTGTTAATAAACTTGGCAAATCTTATGTTTGGAGATCATTCCCCAGTTATCTGCTCACCTTGACCCTACCCTAAGCTCCAAAACTTTTCTCATTGCAGAAAGTCATGTTTTGGCACAAAACAACTTACTGAGTGGAAGCCGTTCTAAATAAGGGTAAGTTTCCTAGTTTCTTCTTTGACATTCAGCAGAGGGCAGAACAGGGTTATTAATATAAGAGGAGTGTGACTCAGTGTGAAGATCTGCTCTGATCTGTTTGTTTCTCTTTCAGAAAGGTATAAAATATATTTAAGGAGCAGGTAAAATTCTAAGGAGTTCACAGATTAAAATATACTAAATGTGAGCAGTTGAACAATAGGAATTTACACTGGGTGGGCTCCTAGATCTCAAGAACCCACTATTTTCTTGGCATTTGGAATATGTAATTGTATTCTTATTGGTGAACCAGCATTGAAAATAAACCATCAGTTGACGGTCAGTTATGGATGCCAATGGACCATTTTTCCCACATTAAAACATTTTATGTTTAAAGCAGCTTCTACTGCATTTATCATATGTTTGAGCATGACAGTCCCTTGAGCTCTGAAGAACAATTTTTCTTTCTCTAACTCGATGTATTATCTTTTGTGTTTATTAACGCAGTCCATTCCTATTATAATAAAGAAACTAAACCCATAGCCACTTTGAAATATCTACATTTTCTGTTGGGTATGGCATTCAAAGAAGAAGAAGCAATCAGTTCTGAATTCACAGCTCTGTTTGAAACACAGGCACCTAGAAACATAGAACTGTAGGGCTGGAAAAGACCTCGGAGTCTTCTAGTCCAATCTGCAGCTCAAAGTAGGAGCTTTATACCATGCCAATCAAATGGTGGTCCAGTCTGTTTTTGAAAATCTCCAATGATAGAGCACCCATAACCCCATAAACTATTTCATTGATTCATTGTTTTCACTGTCAGAAAATGTCTCCTTACTTCTAGGTTGAATCTTTCTTTAACAAGCTTCCACCAATGATTTCTTCTCCTGCCCTCTGGCGCCTTAGAGAATAAGTCAATGCCCTCTCCTTTGCGATGGCCCTCAAATACTGGAAGACAGTTATCATGTCTCCCCTAATTCTTTTCTACAATAGGTTAGACATATCTAGCTCCCTCAACCATTTGTCATACAGTTTTAGTCCCCAGACCCTTTATCATCTTTGTTGCTCTTCTCTGTACACTTTTCAGGATCTCAACATCTTTTATGTATCATGGTGACCAGAATTCAATGCGTTATTCTAAGTGTAGTCTCACCAATGAAGTGTAAAGCGATACTATCAGTTCTCATTGTCTTGATGCTATCTCTCTGTTGATGTAGTCTAGAACGGCATTGACTTTTTTTTGACAGCTGCAGCACATTGTTGGCTCATAATTAATTGGTGGTCCACTAGGACACCTAGTTCTATCTCACAGTTAATGCTGTTGAGCCAAGTACCCCCTATTCTGTACCTGTGCATTTGGTTTTTCCTGCCTAAGTGCAGGACCTTACTTTTCTCACCACTGAACTGCATCTTGTTACTTAGGGCCCAATGTTCAAGTCTCTCAAGATCCTTCTGAAACTTGAATCTGTTTTCCAAAGTGTTAGCAATTCCCCCCAGCTTGGTGCCATCTGCAGATTTGTTGAGCTCCCCTTCTATCTCCTCATCTAGTTCATTTATGAATTCATTTGCTTCAATTGCATGTTACATTTTCACCATTCACTTACAAAAGCCATTTCATAATAGCACCTACAAGCTATTATGAGCCGTGGTGGTGCAATGGTTAGAATGCAGTACTGCAGACTACTTCTGACTGCAGTTTGGTGGTTCAATTCTCACCGGCTCAAGGTTGACTCAGCCTTCCATCCTTCTGAGGTCAGTAAAATGAGGACTCAGATTGTTGGGGACAATGTGTTCACTCTGTAAACCACTTAGAGAAGGCTGTAAAGCATTATGAAGCAGTATATAAGTCTAAGTGCTATTGCTATTATAATGTAATATGACACTATACATGGTCTATAATGCCCACTTCCAAGTAGGTCACTCTGTCACATAGAGAAACATTGAAAATCTAGTTAAGCAGAAGAATTGCTTTAAAGAATCTTGTCCTATGAATCATTGCTGTTGTGTGATTATATTGATGCTATTTCTTCTTTCTTTTCTTTGAACCTACAATCTTAAATTTCTGGTCAGTTCAAGAGATTTCTGTGCAACCATGCTGAAGAAATTGTGAGCCTGGAGATGCCGTTGGCTTGCAATTCTCATCAGTCCCTAATTAGAGATTTTGTAGGTTTATCACTCCCCAAGTAGACAATAGGCATGTAATCTTAAAAGTGCCTATAGCTAATAAGATATTTAGTGGTTAAAGCGATGAACTGAGACTGGTGAGACCAGGTTCAAGTCTATCCTCTGCCATAGAAGCTAACTGGGTAGCTTTGGATCAGTCACTCTCAAGTCAACTTATTTCTTAGAGTGATAGCTGTGACAGTAAAAAGAAAAGAAATTAAACCATTTGAGCTCTTGAAGAAAAGGCAGGTTATAAATTAATAAATAAATGTATTTAGTCATATAGCTCAATGCTGTCTAAACCGAGTCTATAATAAGATTATGATAAGCTTCTTGAGTCTTTAGGAATCTTTAGTTCCTCTCCATATGTATCTCCAGAAGAACAAAACACTTTGAAATTCAAACAACAAAAATGGTACAACAGGATCAGTATGTTTCATCTGTGTTTGGTACTGAAGACTCAAGGGATTCCTTACTGTGGCAGAAACATATAAAGACTGTACTGCAAAGGCTATATTGATAGTGATATAATTTTGAAAAATCAGACTTCCCCAGGACAATCCAGAAGGGGAAAAAAGCAGAAAATTCCCCCTCTGTGATTTTTTTCTATCTCCTTTGGATCACTGTCCAGCCCCCTCTCCAAAATGTTAAGTCTCCCAGACAAAAAATGTTGTTGATTAACTGAAAGCAGGTATGTATACAAGAAATCAAGAAAAATGGAAGTATTTTATAATTCTGAAAATCTGCAAATTTGGAAAAAAGAAGTCTTCCTCATTTAATAGTTAGGCCTTGATGGTTCATTTCTTAGAGACTCTTTCTCTGATATAATGTGATTTTTCAGTGTCCAGTTAGATTCCCTTTTGAGCTCAGGAGCCAGGTATGAGAGCAAGCAATAGAAGGCCCATACCATTGAAGGAGGAAGCATGGGATTATGTGAAATGGCAGTAACAATGTTGAACATGCACTAATTAGCTCAGTCCTTTGTGCCTAGCAGCTGATCCTGAAGGTTTTTATCTTGCTAAATGGAACTTGAAGTGAAAATCTATTCATACTTATCTGAAAATAGAGTGAAGAAAAGAGGTTGTGTACAGTTGCATCTTTTCTAGTTCATTAACCCAGATGAGGCTTTGTAAACTGAAAGGAAAGCTGAGTTTTATTAGTGTCCCCTTCTGTCAATGGTTCCTTGCATCTGCTCCAAAGGACTGGAATTTATTTTGGAAAGCATAGGAGGTTCTAGGAAAGGAAGCATTGCCCCAAAGTGATCCTTCTCTTTTTGAAAACTGCTGCTAGATGCGAAAGCCTCATGTCAGCAAAGAAACACTGTTGATCAGAATCCCATGATCTGTATTAAACTTCAGATCTTGCCTATAACTCTGAATTCTATTTTGTGCTATGACTTCTTTTTAAATTACACTATTAATTCATTGTGTCCTAAACAATGGATCTACTCTGTCCTCATCCCCAAATAATCCATCATTGAGAATGAAAGGTTTATTTTAGGCCATAACTGATAAGCCATTAGAGAAGCAATGCCTTTTAAAGGTACATTCTCTTAAAATCAGATCTGTCCTGGGATAGTGACAGTAAAGCATTGATTTAATACAGCAAAACAAAAAGAAGGCCATTACCTGGGTCTTTAAACTGAAATGAACTGATTTTCTTAGAGTGATAAGGGTGCTCTCAATCAGAAAGGCTAAACCCCCAAATATTGGGCAGATATATGACTTACAGATCTGGTTAGAGCCATACCTTTGTTCAGGATTTATTGAATGGTCTCTGGATAACAGATTTAGGGGGCTAGAAGCACCCCTAAGCACCCCCAAAAGGTGGCAGTTAGTGGCAATTAAACCAGATTGGTTTATAAGCCTGAGCTTCAGTTTACCTATATTCAGTCTGCTTAAAACACAAGGGCTCAGAGATTATTACCAGGGTTTCACTGAGCAATGTGTGCTATTTGCTGCTAGCAACAGTTGAGGTCCTGATGTTCTTCCATGCAAAGCTGTTGGAGGGCAGAGACCAGGTGCAAGATGTTAATAATAAAGAGAAAATGAAACTAGCATTTTCCCCCTTGGGCTACTCATATTTTGTTCTGTCATTCTGAACGGTTGTTCTAGTTTCAGAATCAGCCATTACAAATGTCTGATTTGCATTTGTATCCGAATAGCCTACTGCTTCATAATATGCTCTGTTGAGTAATTTTCCATCCACTTGTGTCCTGTTGCCTGAGGAGATGTTTTGACAAATCAGAGCAACTTCACACTTGATACAGTCCCCTCAGACATGTACAAAGTGGCAAAAATATGCGTTGCCTAAAGGAAGCCCCAGGATACGAATCATGTGTATGAATTATGAAATTGAAATTGGTTTTATTTGCTAAACTACCAGAAGAGTTATTTTCTAATCCTTTTTTTAAGCCTCAACTTCTAACCTGGTTATTCAATTTTCCCCTAATCTCTTTATTTTCACTCTCCTCTTTTTCTCCTTCTTCTTCCCATCCCAGTCCTTATAAAGGACTTCATCACCTTAGCTTTTATGTTATCTTTCTATCACATCTTTCTATCACATTATCTTTATATTCCACTACAATCAAATTATTCTCAGCAGTTAACATTGTAGGCATACAAAATAAACTCAAAACAAGCAAAAAATAAAAAAGTCACCCAATCTGATTAAATTACCTTCTAAAATAGTTCATTTTTCAACAACTTTCTGAATTCAGAAAGATCAGAAGCCATTCTGATCTTCACTGTGATGCTGACAACTGGCACTTCAGCTAGGAAGCAGTGCTTTCTGCTTTGTGCTTCCTTTATTTCTTGAAATTGGCACCTGGGGCATCTTCCCTATAGTCCAGAGGGGGA